TAGGGTTTAGGGTTTAGGGTCTATTTTGGGGGTTACCTTTTAGGATCCTTAATATAAATTTGGTTAAACCAAAAAAGGAACTACATTGGAGACTATAGGTAAGTAGTATGACACAAACCCTAAGCCCCAGTTAACCGCAAACCCAAAGCCCTACCTGTAGACGGAAAGACCTACCTCTTTAAGGTGCTATGGATAGACACCAGAATAAGAGGCCCTAAAACGCGTAGGTCTTTCCGGCTAGAGGTAAGCCCTAAACCTAAACGATAATCAGATCGCTGCAAGTTTGAGGTTTACGGCTTTACAGCCGCTTGCGCCTGTTCCGGACCCCTCAGCATCCTGAAGCGGTTTAGGGTTTAGGGTTTGGGGTTTTGGGCATCTGTTTGGGTGTAGAAAAAAGTGGCTTGCGCTCGGCTGCTCTGAGCAACACAACACACTTGGCTTTCTGTCTGCTACTATCCACACTCTTTGCTTCTAAACCCCAAACAGCAAAACACGCGCATACTCTGTCAAGACCCCTTCTCACTACCCTCGACCCGAAAACCTAAAACAAAAAATCCAAATCCCCAAACCCTAAACCCTAAACCCTATAAGCCTAAGGCCCCCAAGAAAGCTCAGCCATGAGTGAACCCGAGGCTGAACCTGGATCAAAAGTATCCGCGCCAAGGCCCCTCCTTAGCCACCTCTAGGGCTCCAGTTAGTACTTGATTAACGGGGTAATGGCAACGGGCTTTAGGGTTTAATTTAGGGTGTAGGGTTTAGGGCCTAGGGTCTAGGGTTTAGGGCTCAGGGCTTCATTTTATATGGCTAGTAACTTGCTATACAAGTAACTGGAGCCCTAGGGTACGGTCCGGGCTTTGAGGGCCATCTATGGTTTGGGATTGTGTTTTGATGTTTAGGAGTTAGGGTTCAGCAGACTTTAATGTTTGAGGGAGTGAGGCTTTGGGTTTGACATGAGGGCGAGGTCTAATTTGGCGTCAGGGCTTTCAGGCTTTAAGCTTGGGGTTTAGACGACTCCAGCTTGCAACTGCATGCAGACAGGAACAAAGTGGCATATGTGTGCCACGATGTCCCGTTCGGTGGGTCACATCTTTGAACCCTCATCAACTTGACACCTTCCTACCACGATCACCAGTACAAGAAGTAGGGTTTAGGGTTCGGGGTTTAGGGTTATTCTAAGACTACGCTTACACATGCCAGAGTGTTCCTGCTCCTTGCCGGGGATGCTGTGTCGTCTACAGGGGGCGATGGAAGTCTTTCCATCCTTTCTTCCAGGTGCATGCGGGTAGTTGTCAAAATGATGGTCCCTTTTAGGGTACCCTAAATAATAGGTGCCGTATTATAATAAGGACCCAAAAAGGGACCATAATTTTGACAACCACCCATATAGCATATACCATGGAACCCTAAACCCTAAACCCTAAACCCTAAACCCCAAACCCTAAACCCTAAACCCTAAACCCTAAACCCTAAAACCTAAACCGTGCCCTAAGCCACCTTGAGCTTCTGTTGAGGTGCCGTTCGTGTTTTGACCTAGCCTCTATTAAAATACCCACTATTAAGGACCATAAGGGCTCTATTAAAGGGCCATAGGGGGGTCCTGGTATAGGTAAGCCCCCACCCCACTGCAGGTCCATGAAAGCGCAGCTTGTCGAGGCGGGGGTCCTGTCGGGAGAGCGTGGCGAATAAGGGTTTAGGGTTTAGGGTTTAGGGTTTGGGGTTTAGGGTTTAGGGTTTAGGGTTTAAGGGTTTAGTTTAGGGTTTAGGGCTTAGAGTTAGGGTTTAGCAGGGTTGAATATAGGGGCCTTAATGATTAAAAATAGGGTTTTGAGACCCATTATGTTATAATTATATTCGGGTTTAGGGCCCTTCAAACCTAAACACTTTCGGTTATATTCATCTGGTACCCTTATAAGTTGTTGGCCTTCGGCTTTCGAGATCATGGGGTTAAAGGTTCAGGGTCATGGACAAACCTTATTTGCAGTGGGGCCTAGCTATGGGCCTAGGGTTTGTTGTTCCTGTCGCGGTACATCTTCAGTTTTTAGGAGTTTGCACGTTTTATTGCTGAAGGGTTGGGGGGCTTTTTTAACTCCAAGGTTATCGGTGCTTAGGGCACGGTGGAGGCTCAGGGTTTAAGTTTGTTTGTGTAAGGATGCCGGTGACAGAAGAAGGCGGACTTTGATGTCGGGGCTTTCGGCATGTTGTCAACATGTGCTCATGTGATCCCGGGTTTTTTCGTAAGGGCAGCTTGGCTCGTGCTTCAGAGGTTTCCCAACGCGAACCGTGGTTGAGAGTGACCACGAGAAGCGTTAGTGATGCTGTTGCTGCAGTAGCACAATTCTGTTTTTTTACTATCGTTAGAAATATTATGATAGAGGCTGCGACTTTACACCCATCGTTCTGGCCATCGTGTTCCAGACTGTTAATGCTTGCGCGGTCTGTGCATGGATCTCTGCACCCTAGATGATGTCCTCCACAAAGGTTGTTGGAGGCGGAGAAAAATTCTCGATCTCGCCGCGGCCTCGAATCCTAATCTGAGTAGTTCGTAATCGTAGCCTGTCAGTCTTCACCATTCTACTATACTACACCCCAGCACCCAGTTGCAACTATTGGAGCAGCTGCCTTTCACTACTGCAGTTGCCCCATGCCAGTTCCTCAACCAGATTCCGCAGTCTGAATCCCACTGGTTTTCAGGGCATGGGGTTTAACGTTTAGGCGGGCACTGGGAACCGGGTAGATGCAGCTGATGTTTGAAAAGATAGAGCTTAAGGTTTAGCAGCGAGGGGGGTTTGGAAGTCTTGTGTCTTGTGACGGATGACATCGATGCCGGTACAGAAGATCGAGACTAGGACGGTTTAGGGTTTAGGGTTTAGGGTTCATCCTTGTTACTACGACTGTTGCTACCCTTGGAGTCGGTTGCAGCTTGCCTTCAAAGCGCATTTCCAGACTTCGTCTTCATCTCAGACCTGATAACAACTGCTGCAACCCTTAAAGCCCTACCATAAACCCAAAACCCCAAGACCCTAAACCCCTAAACCCTAACCCCTAAAGCCCTACTCCCTGGAGTTGTTGCTTTAAGCAGCTTGGAACGTGCCAAATCCTCTAGGACTGGAGGGCGTCACTTCTTGTGCCCCCACCTAGACCTTCCAATATCCCTGAATTAAGGGTTTAGGGTTTAGGGGAATAGACCTTAAATCATACCTGTGACCCAGAAGACTTACCTGTTTAATGAACTCTATATTGAATCCATAATAAGGAACCCTAAAAGCAGGGTAGGTCCTTCCGGCTACAGATCTAGGGAGAGTGGAAGGACCTGGCCCGACCGCGGCTGACGCGGTTTACGTCCAGGTTTGGGTTCTGTTGACGGAGTAGCACGTAGGTTTAGGGTTTAGGGTTTAGGGTAGTTTCTTTTCGTGTTTCATATTTAGGGTCCTAGACCAACAAGGAAGTACAACGGAGCCTGCGGGCAGCTTCTTGCGCAAAGAACTCAGACAGGAACCCTTTCTCACAATAGAGCACATGAAAAGGGTGTCCCTCACTGATAGCCCCAACACGAAACACAAATATATTCGACCACCAATAGTCCTCCAAAGCTCCCACTATACTGATAGTACTGTGTTCATCGACACACCGACATGATATACCAGCCCCAGGTGGTTTTTGCCAATAGCTCCAGCGCAGATGCAAGAGGCACCTGCACTACAGGCTCGAATTGCAAGAAAGGGGACTCCTCCTACTACCACTACTACATACTACTACGACGACGACGACGCCGATTTTCCGGAAAAGCAGTTGTCGTGGCCGGTTTTGTGCCATAACAGCACTAGGACATACCATGACTGTTAACTTCAGTCAGACTCATCGGAGCCACGCAGATTGTAAACGTGCTCTGTGTGTGTGTGTGTCTCCCGTGCATGCAGGTAGACTGTGCGAGTCGTCTCTCGGCCCGTGCCCGGTGGGGTTTGGTGCGGCTTAGGGTTTAGGGTTTAGGCTTACGATTGTAGTTGTAGGGCTTTGGAGGTTAAGGCTTCTGGCCTTCCAGGGTTCAGAGCATCATCATGTCATCATTGAGGCATGAGGTCATCAACATTGCTGACTGGACGTGCAGCAGTGATCTGGGTGTTCTTCACTGTATGCTAAACCCTAAACCCTAAACCTTTACTAAACCCACCCTAAACCCTAAACCCTAAACCTAGAATGGAAGCGGAGGGCTCTGGGGTCGAAAGGTTAGGATTCAGGGGCTTGGGACAGCCGTAAACTCTCGTAACCGCCTTCGTTCTAGAACCTCAAGCTATCGGAGTAGCACTAGAAGGTCTAAAAAGGTTGGCAATACGGGTCTGCTAGAATTTTTGCTGTTTACGGGTTGTGCATTTCAGGGTTGAAAGTCGAAGCCTCCAGCTCCGGACAGAAGCATAAAACAGAATAATCGAGAAGTCCAGAACGCAAAACCTCTGTGCCTGACCTCCAAATCTGTCTCGCTGTCTCTCGCTATCTGTCTGTCTGTCTGTCTGTCTTCTGTCTCTCTCTCTCTCTCTCTCTGTCTCTCTCCCTTGCTTGTCCTCGAACAGTCACACGCGGCCAAGAGGGACAACAGACACGTCTTCTATTCATTCGCTGGATGCTCTTCGCTCTCCCTCCCCCCTTTTCCGACCGTGCAATCCCTGGCTTCAGATTGCAGCTTCGCAGCCGGGCAAGTATCAAGGAAGCCAGTCTTCCAAAGCTAGAGCCTAGCCCTGACCCTGCCCGGATCCATGAGGTGATGTGACTCTAAGACCTAGGAGTTGCTTCTAGCCTCCAAGTGATTTCAAGTGCGCCATGTTGCCCTAAGCACCCCAAGCCCCAAAGCCCGAAAGGTCGAAACCCCGGGCCTTCGGCGGTGGCCTGTAGCCCATATGGGAGTTTCCGAAAACAAGGGGTACCTTATTTTGGGATCCTCATAATAAGGATCCTACTATTTAGGGTACTATGTGAGGGCCCCCTATTTTTGTTGGCCTCCCTATCCAATGCAAGCGAATGGCGCCAAGCGGCCACGCTTGGCCTTCTCGGTGAAGAGCGGCAAGGCAAGCTGGTGCCTCGCAACAACGAGTTGACGTTCAGATTCAGAGCCTCAACAAATAATAAGAGTGACGACAACAAGTAGTATCATCATGACGACAACGGACGGAGGTACTGATTGTCTTCAGCATGTTCCATGTTGCTATTATATCATGCTCTGTGAAGCTAGCTATCATGATCTGTGTGCACCCAGTAATGTATGTAGCCACCTGCATGTGCATCGTGATTGGTTCTTACAGCGATTGTTGTTCGTATCTGATCTTGCAGATCCATCCGTCTACTAGCTGCTCTTTGTCTAGCACTATGAGTCATTATATAGCATGACCCCTCATGGAAAAATACTTCGTGACAAAACATACTCTGACCCTATCCCTATCCCTCGACGTTCGGGCCTGTGGAGGCACAACATACGCTGACATCCCCTAAGGCTCCAGTGGCTTAACTGGCAGATTAGTAGCCATACTTTGTATATCCCAAGAAACAACTTACCGTTTAGGTAACCGCAGAAACCCTAAATCTTAGACCCTACAAACCCTACAACAGCCCTAGAAGGACCAACCCGTACGACATCCCGACCTGCGGGAGAGGCCTCGCGTGTCAACGTGTTTGCTTCCGGCGAGAGCTCCGAGGAGGAGGTTCAGGACCCGACCTGGACCATGCTGGTTTTAGGGCTTATTGTAGTGCTTCTGATTCTTGCGTGTCCGAGAAGACTTGTCTGTATTTTCTTCTTGATTATACAAGCTTTCAGTTTATCTTCATGGCCTTTCGCCCCCCTGAATCGCTTTCGTGCGCTGCTAATTATTTTTGGGGGTTAGGCTCGGCGCTCCACTTCGAAAAGGCGACCCCGTCTGCGAGGCCTGTCGCTGCGCTTTTTCACGCGCCGTCTGCGCCTAAGAGCGCTTGCTGTTTTCGCCAGGCGAGTTCTTCTGCTTCTTATTTCCAGGCGGCCGCAGCCAAAGCGGCGGCCAACCCGCCGGCTGACTCCGCTGATAGTGACGCGTGAGTGCTTTGTCCTTGTGTGTTGCCATGCCACGAGCGCCGAAAAGTGACATCGGTAGCTCTGGGGTCACTGCCTTGGCACGTGCGTTCAAGCCGTGTGAGCCGTGCCGCTCTGGTGCTTGTCGAAAGGGATGTTTTGACATGTGCGTGAACAATGCCATTCTTCTGCTTTCCGACACGGATGTCTCAATTGCTTTCTGAAATTTGGCCGTGGATCGGACGTCCAGTCGCAGGTCGGTTTCTTGCGTCCTTGGTTGCGATTTCACGTCTTAGTCCTTAGTAGTAGTCGCAGTGTTGCAAGAGGACGTCCTTGACAAGTCATGTTTCTTGTTCCGTGTTAGAATCGGACGTCAGACTTGTCTATTTCCAAGTCCAGCCAGCCGTCAGATGTTGTGATTCCAAGTGCTAGTAGTCGTGTTTGTCCCTCTTGCGCCCGCGCCTGGCGTTTTTGTTCCGTGTTCGGACCGCACGTCAGCCTTTTTTATTTCCTGGTACCATCGGGCCTCAAAGTCCTTGGACGTGCTCTTTCTCCTTCCTTGGCGCTCGGCCGCACATCACATTCTTTAATTTCCGGGTGTACTCGACAGGTTTAGTCGCTTTTGTTGCGAGGTCATCTGTGTCCTTTGCGACTTCAAGTCTAAAAACTTACTTAGTACTAATCGCAGTCTTGGAGGTCCTCTTTTCTTCTTGCGCGCGGAAGACAGTTTATTTTTCAATTTTCTATTTGGTAGTCTAAAGTTTGCAAAAAGCGTACCATAGGCTTTCTATTTGGGGTCTTAGGCCTTACGGCTTTAGGGTTTATGGTTCATGGTTTTGAGGCTCCGAGTGGTTCAGTGGGTTCAGATCAGTCATGAATGTTTATGGTTTGGTGCTTAGGGCTGGATGTCTCTTGCCGATGGTTAAAGTTAGGGGTGATGCGCACAGTCTGAAGAGAGGGTGTGTATCGGAATGCAAGGCATAGCAGATTGCATAGACAGTTGCACAGCATAAAATCTACGCACTCACCAGTGCAGAAAGTCACCGCACAGCTTAGCACATGTGTAAATTCATAGTCAGTATGACTACATATGTGTTTAAATACATACCTGTATATGAAGGGGGCGATTATGTGTATGCATGTGTGTATTGTGTGTATACACATGTATGCAAACATGGACAGACATGGTTGCAAGTGTTGATTGACTGCTGTATATGATTATGTGTGTATTGTATATGTACACATACATGTGTAGGCATATGTATATAGTATGTATACATACGCACCTACATACATACGTACACACGTACTCACCAACATACCGACCTACCGACCTACCTACCTACCTTCTTCCCTCCGTCCCTACCTCCCTACCTGCCTGCCTACCTGCCTACCTGCCTGCCCACCTGCCTACCTACCTTCCTAACTACCTACCTACCTGGTTACCTACCTATCTGCCTACCTGGTTACGTACCTACCTCGCCTGCGTGCCTACATACATGCATACATACGTACCTACACACACACAAGCACATACACACACACATACATACATACATACATACATACATACATACATACATACATACATACATAGATACATACATACACAGATACATACATGCAGACATGATTACATGCATACATGCATACATGCATACATACATACATACATACATACATACATACATAGATACATACCTACACAGATACATACATACACAGATACATACATGCAGACATGCATACATGCATACATGCATACATACATACATACATACATACATACATACATACATACATACATACATACAAAAACAGGCTTGCATATATATATATATAATATAATATAAATACGTACGAGTGTATGTAAATATATATATATATATATGTATATATATAGATAGATTCACACTTCGCTCAAAGACTCGGAGGATGCTACTTTGCCGCGACCGGCACCTTCATCGGTTTCCACGGCGAGCGAGGCCAGACCCTGCCGTCGTAGACTGATCTCAAAATTGACATGATTCAGGGATCAGGGTTTAGGGTTTAAGGGTAAGGGTTGCTGAGATGCATATCGGTACGCCTTCAAAAGGGTTGTTCGGCTTTCGAGGTGAAGACCTTGTTCACTTCAGCTGTCAACGGATTCATGATTTCATCCGGCCTATCATAGGTGCGTACTTCGCGGAGTAAGGTCTACAGCACCCCACCCCAACAGACCTGCAAATACAGAGAATTACAGAGACCTGGGCCGCCAAATCCAGCACCCCAAGAACCAGAACCCCAAACCCTAAACTCTAAACCCTAAACCCTACAAACCCTATAAACCCCATAAGCCCTCAAAGCAGAGCCCAGAGTCCCCCCCAAATTCCGGAAAACAAGGCCGAGCCCTCCGTAGACCCGAGTACCCCAGGGCCCCAAGCCGTGCAGAGGACTTCGCCGCGGAGTTGAAAAGTTCTTCCGAGGCTTTCGAAGGCCCGATTTAGGGTTTAGGGTTTAGGGTTTAAGGTTAAGGGGCAACCCGATGTCCGGAATCTGTGGTATCGGGGGCCTTTACGGTGAGAATAGGGTTTTGGGGGCCCATTATACAATAGATATAATAAGGAACCCCCCCAAAATAGTATAGGTAATTACTTAGGCCGCTACATACGTTATGTCAACCTAGAAAGCTGAAGCTTTGCAAATTTACTAACGGCTGAAAGGAAAAGTCGCCTAAACACCATAGCCCTAAACCCCCAAACCCTAAAGCCTCGTATAGAATCCTTGTAACCTCATGGAGCTGATTTATCACTTGAGGCCTTGGCCCCGATGACCTTCTGGCCTCAAACCCCGTTTAGGGTTTAGGACCTTAGGATTTAGGGTTTAGGGCTTTGGGTTTCGGGGGTGTCGGGTCTAGGATTAGGGGTTCTGGGTTTTGGGGTGTAGGGTTTAGGGGTGCAGGGGTTTAGGGGTTTAGTTTTTAGGGTTGTCTACATTATACACGATTGTTTTCAGGGCTACTGCAAGTGTTTTCATAAGGGTCCGATGAGGGTTTACGATTTCGGGTTTAGGCAAACGTTCTGGGGCTTTGGGGCTTCGGGTTTCAGCAACCCCCGTCCAAGCCCGAACACCTCCCAAGCTGCAATACTGCAATACCCCAGTGTTCAAACTATAGGGTGTAGGGTTCAGGGTTTAGGGTCTAGGAAGTGCCGGCATCAACCAAAATCCAGTCCCTGGGTCTTGCCCCTCAAGGCTTCAGCCCAAATAATATCGGGGCCTTAATAATTAGAATAGGGTTTTCGGCGGCTCCTTATTCTTAGAACTATAGTGTAATTTACCCCCAAACCCTATTCTAATTATCAAGGCCCCTAGATTATCTCGAACCCGTCATCTCCAAAAGCTGAATGCAAGCCCGAACTGGCCGCAGCACAGCAGCTAAGAGGCTATCGCAGCTCTTTGCGTCCCGACCCTGGTTAGTGTTCAGGTTTGAAGAAAATTGGTCGCAGGACAAGTGTAGCAGAGAATGCAACAATCACTGCTAAGATGTTGTCTTCTCTATATCACAGGCATAGCATTCCTTAGCGTCAGCGGCAACTGTTGCAATGCTATTTGTCAGAAGCAATGGAAGTAGCAGTGGTGAGGGCCGTCGTCGTCGTCGTCTTCGTCGTTTTGTTTTTTTGTTTTCGTCTCGTCCCCGTCGTTGTCGGCGCAGTAGTGACGGTAGTAACAACCATCGTGATATCGTGATAATACAGTAGTAGTACCTGCCGTCGTCTTTGCTCCTCCTGCTCTTTATTCCTCCTCCTCCTCCTCCGTCTCCTCCTGCATCTCTCCTCCTCATTGTCGTCTTGGTAATCGCGATATCAACACCCATGAGGTGAAATGGCACACTTCACGCTTCTGATCGTCACCATCATCGGTTCCGTGTTCATCAAGTCCTCATGAGCATAGTCATGAACAACTTCCTGTCCTTCATCTTCACCAGCGTGGTCATTACCTTTCTTCACAGTCACTTTCTTTGCAGGACCATTATGATCCGAGCAAGCCTAGTGGAGCTATACTAGGCACAACCTATAGCGCTCACGCGTTAAGGATGACAGCAGTCGGAGTTTGAAATTGAAGTGCTAGTCTCATAGAAACCTTATGACTTATGACGACTAGCAGCATTAATGACGGTAGGTATAAACATCGCTGTTATAGGCGAAGACTAGCTGCGACTACAGGTTCGCTGTTGACTGTTGCTATCGTGGGCACGATTAACTTGCTAAAATGCTTATCTTATTCGCGCCACTAGTGATATGTTTTCTGGTCCTTACTTCTGCCGTCAGTTTAAGAAAAGCTGGAAACTCAATAGCCTCAACCCCCAAGAGCAATGTATAGGGAATCCCAGCACTGATTGTCCTTAATCCGGTTTCCAAGTTTTTGGGGTTTACCATAACCTACGAAACTTTGAAGCCCTACCCCCAAAACCAGAAGGGGCCTCAAACCCTTGGCCCTAGACTCTGATAAACCCGACAAGACGTTCTTATCAACAGCCACATAAGCAAAACCCAGCAATCCCTGAACCCGATGCCCAAAATCCCCAAAGCCCTAAACCTCTTGACCCTGAACCCTAAACGCCTACAGGGTCAACCCACAAGCCCCCCCTAAGCCCCCTAACCTCGCCTAAGCTTCCAGGGGCCGTAGAGTTGGGGTCTTAGACCCCTTAAGGGTTTAGGGTTTAGGGTTAAGGGTTTTATAGTTGGTGCCTTAAACCCAGGTTTAGGGTTGAGGGTTTTATCGTTGGGGCCTTAGACCCCTCAAGGGACCCAATGATGAGGTCTCCATGGAAGCATAGGGCTCCACATAAAACCCTAAACCCTAAATCCTAAACCCTAAATCCTAAACCCTAAACCCTAAATCCTAAACCCTAAACCCTATATCCTAAACCCTAAACCCTAAACCCTAAATCCTAAGTCCTACACCCTAAGTTAGCCCCGAGGCGCGAAGAATGGCCCTTTGTATCGGCGCTTTGCGGCCCTCCTGGACTGACCCGACATGTCTCCTTTCTTTGGGGATTTAGGGGTTTAGGGTTTAGGGTTTAGGTTCCTTCAAAGGGGTTCTGCAAGGGTTACCATAAGATAAAGGACCTACAAGGGTACTATAGTTATAGGGTGTTAAGTTTTTAGAGTTTAAGGCTTTGGGTTTAGGGTTTAGGGTCCAGGGTTTGGGGTCTAGGGTTTACTGTAGGGTTTTTGGAGTTCAGTGTGTAGGTCGTAGGGTTTGGGAGCGCGGAAGGGCTTAGGTGTTCCTTTTTGTAGCTACAGTGCACTCCACCTTCGGGTTCCTCATGGGGAGTTCTCTACATTAGGGTCCCTATTTAGGTCCCCAATATAGTACGGCACCCGTATAAAAAGGACCCTAAAAGAGACCCTAGTGTAGAGAACTACCCTCATGATAGTGGTAGCGTTTGGACATGCTTGAGCGGGCTTAACACAAAGCGCGAGAAACGCAGGCCACCACAGCGTCCCGTTCTGAAAAGCTTATTGGTGTCGAGGTTGTTTCCAAGTTTAGGTCCAGGGTGTTTTGGGGGGCGTTATAGGGTTTAGGAGGTGTCAGGGTTGATCACATATTGTGACAGTTATTGTACCGATTGAGACTATGTATAGCGCAGCAGAAGACCATCCAAGCTCATACCACAGAAAAATATGGGGACCGAAAGAATTACCCATACTATTTGGGGGGGGGNNTCCTTATTATAAGTATGCTCTAAAGGGCCCCCCAAACCCTATTCTAACTACTAAGGCCCCGAAATTATAGCACGAAGGCCCACGGAGCGGAGTTCAGGGAGCACTGCAGCGCCCAAAAGCATTCCGCGAACTAAAGCATCACCACCGTGAGGCATGGCAGGAGTTGCGCCCGTCAGCGTTTGAACCCTATAAACCCTAAAGCCGGAGCCCTAAACCCTAAACCCTAACCCCTCCCCCCCCTCCCCCCCCCAAAAAAAAATAATAATAATAAACCTAAACCTTGAGCCCGAAGCCCCAGATCCTGCACTCTGAACCCTCAACCCCCCAAGTTGTCTAAGCCGGAAAAGTCACGGTCCTTTTTGGCAGAATGGCGAGAGGGGAATCGCTTCCGGAGCTCGCCCCTCAGTCCCGTGCGCTTGGCCTGGGGCGTTTTGGGGCCATGGTTGGGGGTTCAGGGTTTAGGGTCATTGGGTTCTTCTTTGATTTATTTAGGGCGTTTGTGGAGTTTAGGTGTATTTCTTTAGGGTTTAGAGTGCATTTTCCTAGGTATTATTATTAGGGAGACCCCGTAAAGGGGACCCCTGGTAACCCTACTTCTGGCTCTCTTAGAAAGGTGGACCTTATTCAGAGGGTCTATGTCCCCAAGGGTCACCCTAATCCTAGCTCCTAGGTTTAGGGTTTAGGGTTTAGGGTTTAGATGTTTTGAAATCCCTTCACCCCGGACATACCCCTTAGCCCCCAAGCTTGAAGCCAAGAAGCCCGGAGCTCCCAAAACCATAGGACGCTCTTTAGGCTGACGCTTTAGGGTAGGACCAGTCTTCAAACTCAAAACCCTAAACCGCTCAACCCTAAACCCCTAAAGCCCTAAACCCCTAAACCCTAAACCCCTAACCCCTCAACCCTGAAACCCTAACCCCTAAACCCTCAAACCCAGTCTGAAAGCTTGCTCAGGCCCGGCAAGCCTGACTGCAAGACCCGAGGACCCCAACTGAGAGACCCCAGACCCAGAATCCGTTTTCCCACAAAACCTAGGAATCAGTATCAAGACCACTGCCTATATATAAATACATATATATATATATAATATAATATATATATATATATATTATATATATATGTATACATATATATAAATATATATATACATACACATGTGTGTATGTATGTATATATTATTATTATTCTTATCAGTATTATTATCAGTTATTATTATTATTATTAATTATTATTATTAATTATTATTATTAATTATTATTATTATTATTATTATTATTTTTATTATTATTATTATTATTATTATTTTTATTATTATTATTGTTATGATTATTAGTATTGATATTAGTATTATTTGTATTACTAAGATTCTCACTGTTGTTATTGCCATGATTACTCCTATTACTGTTGTTACTGTTACTTGTATCTTTGTTATTACTATTGTTATTATTGTTGGTAGTCCCTAAACCTAAACCCGGAACCCTGACCCCTAAACCCTAAACCGAAAACAATAAACCGAAAACCCAAAACCCCAAAACCCTAAACCCTACACCCAGATCCCTAAACCCTAAACCACAAAAAACCTTAAAACCCTAAACCCTAAAACTTTAAAGCCCTAAGCCCTAAAATTTTAAAACCCTAAACCCTAAAACTTTGAAACCCTAAGAACCAAAACTCTAAAACCCTAAAACTTCAAAACCCTAAGACCCTAAAACCCTAAAGCCCTAGGCCCTACCCATAGGCCCCATAGTAGTTCCTTGTTGGGATTACCTTATAGGATTCTAAATATGAACCCCAAACAGGAACTACTCGTACTATGGGGCCTATAAACCCAAGCCCTAAACCCCAAAAAGGAACTACTACGGGGCCTATGGGTAAAGCCTTCTTCCGACTTCGTAGGTGGACCCCGGCACAGCCGGCCTCGGGCTCGGCCTCCTGGGCGCCACCGTCAGCGCCATGGCGCCCCGGCGCAGAGGGAGGAGTTGTATCTTATGAACCGGGGAATGTGTTCATAAGTTGCAGAGTCTAGCTACTTGTGAAGCAAGGAAAGCAAGATTCCTTGTCAATAAACGGTGCTTTGGTTGTTTTAAGGTTGCTCCTTACATGCGTTAAACAGTCATCAGGGTTTCTGCCAGATGGGATGATGAAGCAAGGGGTTGGAAGCTCTAGGACTGTTGTTTCAACAACACTGCGGGTTGTTGGGAGTTGCTCATCGAACTCAGTTGTTGCTTGTTCCGGAGGGGTTCAGGCCGCTTGTGAACGAGGTGTGAGGTCCACGACTTGCAGGCAGTGGAGGCTGTGTGAAAGGTCGTTGTGGTCCATGGTGTCAGGGCACACGAAGCCCCAGAGCCTGAACCCTAAACGCTAAGCCCTAAACCCTAAACCCTGACACGAGACGAGAAAAGTCGAGGATCCCGCATCCTCGGTGCAAACAGATTTGCACCCAAAGTAAGATCCAGCCGCCTCTGAGCCCTTTTGCCTGCTATTGGGGTCTGAACACGGTTGGCACGTATTAGTGCATCCCATATGGCTTTTGGTTGGTATTTATTAGTGCATCCCATATGCCTTTTGGGGGGCTCACTTGTACACATAAAACACAAAAACCCCGATGCAGTTACAAAACCCCCCCTTTCCTACCACCCTAAACCCTAAACCCTACCCCAGAGCCACGATCCTCCCCTTAGCCCCTGCCCTCATCTTTCGCAAGCTTGAGGTACAACTGGCCGACCTACGCCGGGGCTCCAGCCATCTCTGAGCATCTGCATTTCTTGCAGTTGCAGGTAGGTTTAGGGTTTTAGGATTCACAAGTAGGTGTTTATGCAAGATCTCATGAGGCTTTTTTAGACTCAATAGGTTTAATGGGCTGGTTCAGTTGCTTGGAAGCCGGTGTGTGACTAAGGAAGCGAGATATCCAAAACAATGAACACTGCATTTCTGACCAACCTTGCCTTCTTACAACTACGCAATCATCCTGGCTTTACAAGTCTTTTTAAATAAGGTACCTTCGGCTCCTCTTGGAACAGTGGTCAAACCCTAGGCCTAAGCTCCAACCCCCCCACCCCCAACCTAAACCCTCAACCCTAAA